CACCCACTGTTGAGGTGAAATTGCTGATAATATGTATATTAACACAATAAAAGCCTTGATTTCTCTGTTGGTTGTGCTACAGTTATTGTGGATATTCCTGTGAATTCTTTCCTACAGATGCTTATTAATTCTTGAATACGATGTCTAGAATAGTTATACAGTGGTAGTGTTTCTTTGTATGTATATCATTTTTCTGTTTATGTCCTTCACTGCATTAGACAGATTTTAAGCTCGATTACCCAGACGTTCAACAAAACCTGCTTTAATTAATTTTGAGCGAGCTAATGAGAGGTCTAAATATCTATTGTAAGGTAACGGTTCTCTATTGACAGCAGCACATAAGCCATCATGTATTGCTTTATTTTGCAGTTAAATGCAGCTAATCTTCTTATTCCATCTCCTGACCGGTAAGCCAGCTGGATCGCACTTAAGGTTGAGTTAATATGTGAAGGAATTACCGATAAGTTCCAGTTTCACCACAGTAAATGTGTCAGTCATATATCCCCACCAAAGTTCTCTGCTGTTCATAAATGTATCTGTTATGACCAGGGTTAGTGGTGATCCCCTTGTTACCCCTTCCGTTCGTCTATTCATTTTGTTCTAAAACCTGACGGGATTTCTTCGACTGATAATCTCCTACTGAGTTAGTTCGGAGTCAATGTCCAGCTGATTTCTCAGAGCATCCAGAGCTACACTTTTATTAGTATATTACCGCAAACGCTTGGTAAATGAAAACTAACCATTCTGTCATACTCTTCTATCTGCAGGTCTTTAAGTCTAAGATCTGATTTGTTATAAATGATTTGTTCTGAACTTGAATTCGCATATTCAGACAGCTTGTCTGCTCGGGTATTTACGAACTCACTAATTATTCTACTAGCATTGGTACTTAAATTCTCGTGATACAAAGCATTCTCTTACGCTTATTAGTTTTTGCATCAGAATTTGCCCATTTAAGCTCTCTCGGAAATGAGTTCATTCAACACGTCATTCTGACTGTGGATTTCTATGTCTTATTCATGCTAGGTTTCACAGGTTTATTAATTTTCTGATATAATCCTGTTTAGACATATTTACAGGTCTGTTTGGAGCATTTTGAGTCGTCCATAATTGTTGTTGGAGTGTTGGACTCACTCTGAGAACAATTTCGTCTGAGTAAAAACATCCAACTCAACTGATTAAACAGACTTTGATTGCGAGATCAAATGCATTGGTCAGACTAGTTGACAAGGGTCAATCAGGTCAGGGGTACGTATAAAATTGGCTAAGTTCACAGTGATAGACCCAAATAAGATAGGGAATTCGGAATAAAAAATAGGCTGGGGCAGTAACTATCTTGAAGTTCAATTTCCGTAAATAAAGAGAGAGTCTGATTACCGAATATTTGTTAAACGAGTCAACAATATATCAATTCAACAAAAATGACACAGCATACATTCCCTACATGTGGAGCATCTTATCACCTATGAGACCAAGGAATAACATGTAACAGAACTATAAAAATCGGGTGTAGGAGTTTGCATGAATACTCTGAGATGATTTTCAGCCGCAACTGGGGTCCCAAACACCATACGGTGAACAGTGATGCAACAGTGCTCGCTATACAACGAAAAATAAGTCAAATATGTCGAATGGGATGTAATGATTGTAAGGTCAAGTGTATAATTCAGAATAAGCAGTCAGTCAGTCTGAATACCACAGCGGAAATAGAGATTGGAATATAGATTTCTAGACTGTACTTTAGTAAGTAGTTTACAAAGATTCTCATCTATTGACATACTTGCAGTAACCGATAATCATTTTGTTGCGTGAGGTCGGGTAACAGATTGCAGACATAACTTGGCAAAAGGAAGAGAGAAGTGAGTCAATGAATTCTTCGCCACCAAACCAACCCTGAATGCATATCAGAGGAATGATTCAACAACTTTTGATGATGTCAATATAATTTTACCACCTTTAAGCTTAATGAACAAGGTACTGGGAGCTAGAAAAATGAGGTTCTTTCATTCAATGGTTACCTCTATATGACTGTTAGTGATAAGCTGGCTTTGAGTGGTTGCTCAGTAACTACCACTTTATGAGTGTGTGCTATATTAGGTAAACGAAGGGACACGGAACTATCCTAAACTGGACACCAGTGAAACGTAAACTGAGTGGATGCACTGAATCAAAGTACGCAGAATCTCAGTTCACAAGCCTGAGTATCACGAAATCAGTTTTAGGGATTTCACAGACCTGTGAATATAAAGTTGCATACATTTTTCGTCGGTTTGTTACCCTCAATCCTATAGAGTGTTTTATCTAAATTATGAGAAATTGAATAATTAGATTTCAGCTAATGATGCAACTTTGAGTGTTTACTTTCAGCTTAATGTTGATAAGAGAGTACTTTTGGTGCCTCCCCGTAGGAACACAAAAGCTGGTTAAATGTCAGGAAAACTACAGTAGTCATTCATTACTTGGAAGCAATCTAAACGCAGTAAGAAAACTTTGAACTAACAGCACTTTGATATAACTGTTTTTATATCATACCATCATTGAATGGAATGAATTGATCGGTCTCTATTGGCATTCCACTGCTAGCCACTGTCCATCATTACTACCATTAGAGCACCGTAATATCGAGGCATCCAGATAGGATCTCATATGCCAATAGAGACCGATCAATTCTGTCCAATCAACGACGGTATGATATAAAAACGGTTATCCTAAAAACTATACCGTCACACAAGAAGTGGCTATCGTGGCTCGGTGGTGTAATGGATAGCGCTCAGGCGTTTGAAGCGATCACTCCCGAGTCCGAATCTTGATGGGAACAACATTGCTCACCGGAAAGCAGGTACATCCAGCTGACAAGTCCCAAATATGATGAAATGCACATTCTGAATTCCACTGCTAGCTACTATGCGTCATTACTAACAGCATTTTGAATAGAGTATGCTACTGTTCTGATGATAACCTATGGTGAATTTTATTATCAAAGTAACCCATACATAAAAAATATTATTTGGAATATTTTGAAGCTTATTGCATCTCTCACAAAGTTTACCACGATTTTTATATTCAGTTTACTATAGTATTTTCCGCGTAAGCCCTGAATATGGATTAAATAATATTATGTTAGTGATTTTTGGATCTCTCCTCACAACGTACACTTCAACTCTTGTGCTGTTTCTTAGGAATTGATCAGCAAGAAGTATAGTTTCATCTGAGCGTTCTGCTTGTTTTTATCAATCACAAGAATGTATCTCTGGAAATGATAAAACTTATTTTCCGTCAATGAATTTAACTTCATTCAGTGTTGAAGTTAGTGACTACCACTAATCTACTCAGAGAAAAGTTTTAGCTTCTCTAATCAAATCAAACTGATAAATACTGAGGAAAAAATAAAGCGGCGTAGACAAATGCTTTTGAAATTATTCCAGATGAAAATAAAATCTTCACTTCTAAATTTGAGTTTTATGTAGATTTCAAATGACAAACAGCGTAAATTTACAATCGAAGGAATGAGTTAGGAGTTATAGACCATAGACAGTGGGATAGGAGACTTAACTTTTTGATGGACAGAATATCCGTCAGTTGTTAACTTGCATTTCACTCTACTGTATAATCTTTCGGATAGAACACCCACAACTACAAGTATAACTTCCCAGTCAATAACTGAATGCATCACCATTAAGCATGACTTAGCAATATGTTACATATAGAACTAAATTATATGAAAGTCAAACGATTGGTCATAGATTGAATTACTTAAAATGTTTACAGTATCTTCTCAGTCATTTCGGTCTGTTTATCTTCTTCACTCAGCATGTGGAACAAGATCCGGATTTTCAACACCAACGTCAAGTCAGTGCTTCTCTATGGCTCAGAGACTTGGAGCATTACGAAAGGCATTTCCAACAAACTACAGACATTCATCAACAACTGTCTACGCTCGTTACTTAACCTTAGATGGCCAGAATAATAAGAATAAGCAAAAGGAACTGACTCTAGCCAGCCAACGAACCTATCACCCAGAGAAATATGCAGAAGGAAGTGGAGATGGATTGGACATACACTGAGAAGACCATTCGGAGACATCACGCGCCAGGCCAGGCCGTGGAGTTGAACCCAGATAGGACGCGACGAGTTGGGCGTCCGATGCGAGGGTGACATGGAGGGGATCATGTGAGGAGGAAATGAGAGCCTCTGGGTTGTCATGGAGCCAGGTTCAAAAGATTTCAGAGGACAGAGTGGAATAGAGACGTGGTACTGAATCCCTATGTTCCACTAGGAACCCAAGGGACAAATAAAATAACGATAAATTAAGTTAGCATCAGTCACAAATATAAAGAAAGATATGTAGAGCACAAAAATTGTCTATGAATACTGTTGCATTCTGAGATCTCATATATCATTACTTGTTTCAGTTGTTTATTATCCATGGAACATTGAACTTGTAATACCACAAACGTATTTCCCAGGAAAGCCTGTTACAACTTGAGATTATTATAACCTCACAGGTGAGTACAACGTTTAGGACAAACAAATTTTGAAAAATGTGAAGTTTTCCTGGTAGTTAATCCAGCTATTTATAAAAAGGAAGTTGTCAGTGTCAATTTAATTTATTTTTCAATAAATAATAATGATATTTCTGTTGACTTATACAAATCATACTAAATGACTATTTAAGTAGTAATTAATAGCAACAAAGTTTACTTGTACCAAATGAAGATAAGTTTATGTGATTTAGACATATAGAAAACGAAGAGAATCGTTGTTACCAACTGAATACATATTTCTCAAATACTTTTGTATTTTTTGCAATAAAAAATTGTACTAAAAATTGTAATACATTTTGCCCTGCAAATCGAATGTTTATATAACATAAGATTAATGAATCTAGATGTATTTACCAGGGTATGAAGTGTAGAATCAGTGTTATATAATCAGATGTTTATGAATGATAAGTAATGTGAGGGATAAAAAGATATCGACTAGCCAGCGAGTAAATTGGTTTAACAATTTGTAGAAAACAGACTGATACTGAAAGGGAATGACAATACGAGATCAGTCAATACTATGAAAATCGATTTTGTATATCAGCAAAAGTTATTTGATCACTGTGTATACATCTGATAAAAGTAATAATATGAGAATATATGCGTTGCAACAGATATATTGACACGTTCACATAGACTTTCTCATAAATTACTTCTGTTGCGAACTGTTTACAGTTAGTATAAAATACAGTTGAATAAATTAATATATCAACGAATGTAAAAATGGGAAGCAAGTTAGCATTCGATTAGTATAAGCCTAAAATATTGGTTTTATCAGGGTAAAATTGAGCATTTTTATAAACATATATCTACAGTACACAGCGAACTACTGAAATCTCAAATAATCACCTTTGATATGGTGGTCCCGAATACACTAATATCACCACGAAATACACGTAGTTCATTTTAATAAACATTTCACAGTCTCTCATTTGTGGGTCCACAAGATCAGCTGCGTATCGTTATATATATATATATGTACCCGACTTTTACAGTTTTCAGGTGTAAAGGGGAAATATAAAAAATAGCGGGAGACGTTAGTATGGGACCAATAATATCATTGATAGTCTCAGGGATATTTATGCATGTATGGGGATAATCAAGTCCTACAAGTCCTAAGTAAGACAAAACGTGAGTCCTGGATTCCACGGCTACCTGTTACTAAATCAATTGTAACTTCATTTATTGTTATAAAGTTGATTAGTTCTAAGCTAACAGATTTTCCTTCCCACAAGATATGTTCTACAGCTGAGATTTTTCATTCGGCTGTACAAGCATGAAGTTTCATACAGTTGCCTTCTATTCTCTCTCTATCTAAGTTGATACAAGGACAGAATTGTGAATGAAGAGGACTGCTACTACCTAGTAGAATAACTGTAGCTACATGCCTACATAAATCCGAATATCAGTCAACTGAGATGTCATTCAGTTGGGCTAGAAGCACACCCTAAACCTACTAACAGCTTTGAATGGCTTATGTAGCATAACATTTTCCTTTCTTACCAGACTACGACAGATTAAAAGACGACAAAAAAAGAAGATTAAGTGAATTATGGTACGCTTTCCACAGTAAGTTAGATAGGTAAATTGATTTTCATCAAAAGAAAACTACTAGAAAGAAAAAAACTATTCACTGTAAACAAGCTTAACAAACTTGCATCTTTCTAGAAATTTCGTACGCTTTATCAAAATGGGCTACAGCGTTTTCGATATCTTGATCACCAGTTTTGCATTCTTCAATCTGTAAAATTAGATAAATATTTCTAGTAAATAAGTATACTTGATTAAACTGTATTTTTATCACATTCAACTCTGTGGAATTAATTACAATCATCAGTAATCCATGAGATATATTACTTATCTGAACGCTGAAACCTTTTCAGTGCTGCACAGGGTGATACCAGAATAAGCGGAATCGAGTTCAAAGCATAACCACTGTATCTATTACACCGTCAATTGTAATTACAACTCAAATATGGCTAGAACCATTTCATTAAGACTAAATATTCACATCAAGTCAAAACAAACAGTCTAATGAAGCAAGTCCTTCTAAACAATTCCTTTCTTGTATTCCACAATTGTACATAAATATTAGGTTTTTCATTTTCAAATTAGTATGTATAGAAATGTGTGTGTGTGTGTGTCAGAGAGAGATATAATGCCTGTGACAACTAGTTATTACAATGAAATCGATTACATGTTTGTCGTTAGCAGAGTATAAGTATAAAATATGTAGAAGAGATTAAAGTAGCTATCTAACAGAGAATAGTAACTGCACTTAGAACTATTTTAATCAGAAGAGGTTAGAAACAAAACACTAAATGCTTACTCGACCAAGAACTTGATAAATTGGTACTGTCTCTTTGCTTTCAGAGTCATACTTCTCTTCTATGAGTTTCAATGCCTTTGAGTAATGTTCACGAGCCAAAATGAACTTCTTATTTTCAAATGCGACCCTAAAGAATTTGCGAAAAGTAGTCAAAATATATGGACTTTTTTGAATCTTGGACAGAAAAGCAGTATCTCAATCACTCATGTAACCATCCAGATCTTCAGTGAGCTCATCACGGATTAAAGCGTTTCAAATTATAGGCTTAAGTCCATAAGACAGTAAACATAACTTATTTAAAGTCCTTGTATCTTTCCACGTCACCTTCAGAATTGAATCAAGCATCTGCTAACCACACCGTTCAGGGTGAAATCAATAAAAAAGATGAGATGCAGCTGTAGTTTTTTTATCAAAAATATATTATGAACAACATAATATGTGATCTTTTCTGTGCTATAAAAGGTATTAAATTACAACCTTGAATAAAACAAGTGAGTGGTTCATTCTTTGTTCAGGTCGCCTCAGTGGATCTACACACACAGTTAACTTTCAACCAGTGGTTCGCGGGTCTAGACCCTGCTTCACCTAACGAGGTTTGGACAACCAGGTAGTAATTATCCTTAGCCCTCATACATTGAGTTTGGTTCATTGCCAACTACACAAATGTGCAGATTATTGAGTACATCTGCATACTGGAGTTTGCCTTTCTAAGTAGGAAGAATACACAATTGTCACCATTATGGTCTGGAAAATGAGCAACTGTTAACTGAGTGATACAGTTGTTGAAATACTTGATAGCTAGCTTTAACCTTTCATATATATATGTGAAGGAGGTGATGTTCTAAACTAAAGTTATGCAGCTGTCTATCGAAGATAGACAAATTATCTTCATATACTCTTAATTTACGGCAGAACTATGTTGATAACTGAAGTATGATGAACAGTTACTGATACTTTTAGTCCTACTATTCTTTCTTCTGTCAACACGATGCTGAACTCATCTGTTTAATCGTATGTTGTTTACCATACTGAGATCACTGTTTTGTTCAAGTAGTATAATGACAAAAGTCACTAGCAAATCATAACCTTCTCCAAACTGTGTCAAACTCTAATGAAGTTTATCTCTTTTATCAAACAGTATACATATTGTACACAAAGCAATTCACAATGCATTACTCACTTCCCGTACAAACAGTAAATACGTAATTTCATATCATATAAATCTGGGAAAAAACTTTTGTCTAGCCGTAGTAAAGTACAATGACTCCATTGTTGATAGTAACCCTCCATAATGTTTTCTTCTTGTTCTAAATTCTCACTGGAATAATCATTGTTTCGAATCAAACCAAGCTGTTTTTCAACATCACTGAATGCTTTTACCGATTGTTTCATGAAATTTAGTGCTTCTTTCTTTCTAGTACAATAAAAGAAATAAAAATTAAAACCAAAAATTAGTATACCAAATGACTGGAATAGAGATGAGTGACTGAGTGGGGAAATAATTCGAAACAGCAACCTTAGAGTTATCTGCTTAGTGTTCAATGAACTGAGCTATAAGACTAGTGAAGTCAGGAACTGGTTAGCAGCCGAGTCTCATAAATCAATTGATACAGATCCGGAGGATCCGGAGGCCTATAGGGTGATCCAGCTGCCACTCAGGTTCCCACTTCACCTCCACTCACCGTCTAGCATTAATTAGGCTAGTTGTTGAACTGCAACCACCTCACATACTCTTATTACCAGTCATCAATTTTGTCAAATATGTTTATGCAAAGATTCGAAAAAATTCAATTCACTAGTACATAATTCAAATATAGATTCACCTTGAATTGTTTAAATGTAATTCAGGAAACAGCAATATCATGTAAGGAAGTGAATTACTCTAGTCTAAATATCCCTTTAACAGTAACTTTTAGTCCTGAACCAGTTTTTCAGTAATCATTCCTTCAATCGGATACAGGCAGAAAACAGTGAAGACATATCATGTTGTGATATGATCCTCAAAAGTGATATAACGGTATTGAAATCTAACTTTTACAACTTATCGCCTTGTTCATTTTTATCAACGCAACCAGAAAAAGATTTAAACAACTAATTTAGTTCGTATTTACTTCACAATTTCTCCTCCACTGCAGACAGATTAGAATAAATACAGAAAAGAACAAAGTAACCGTGTGCATGCAGAAATATAGATTAAAAAAGTAAAACACCAGTTGGAAAATGTTAATAATTCTAATAATAATGATGATAAAGTTTATCTATAGGTAGTTGGAAGAGAGAGCCTAGAATTCTGACAACGGTTGTGAGAAGTAGTAGTAATGATGAAAGAAAATAGTAGTAATAATGATAAAAGTAACAATAGTAATCTTTAAAAATGCCTTCGATGGTATGGAGTCTATAAATGAAGAGAAATTAAGCAATACATTTGTAGTGTTATATGTTCCAATCACTAGAACAGATTGATTAGAACTGGAAATTGAAAGGTACAGGGGACTAGTACATACTGATCAGATCCCTAACTTCAGCAACAACAATAGAAAACGAGAATATAAAAGCAGTTGCATAAAAACTTTGTTCAAGAGAGCGAAGACATTGTGGTACATCGGCCCTACTCAGATTCTGCATCTGTCCCAGGTATATGGAAAATTCTATTACCCTTGTTATCACAACGAAGAAAAGAAAATTAGTGGGATATAAGCCCTATTTCGAGGTTGTGGAACTACCTCATATGAATGTGGATAATAAATTATATCTAAAACCTTATACAGTAAATGATACTGTTTCACTGTGTGGCATCTAATAAATAGACTAAAGTGGAATTACAATAGACAACAGTGCCCAAGTTTTATTCCAATATTAATGTTTTTCATTATGTTGAACTTTTTGATATGTTAAGTTGGACATGGATTTCGAACTGAATTTTTCGAGATGAATGTCGAATCACTCTTCCATATATCCCCAATGAATACAAGACAAATTTTTACTGAGTGATGTTTGAAGGTGAAATGAAAAGTTGAACCGTCTGTGTATTGCATAGTTTATGTATAAGGTGAATGCCATTACCAGGTTAGTTTTTTATTACATAATGCCTGAAACAATCGATCATTTTTCGCATATAAATATCCAACTCATTTTCAAGCGACTATTTAACTGGAATTATTCGGTATATATATATATATATATCTATATCTATATCTATATATATATATATATACAATGTTACCATTGTATCCTCTTCTCGCACTTTCAGTTTTATACTACTTATGGTTGTGAAGTACTGAAGTAGTGTCTATAGGAAACCTACCCATTCGAATCCTCCCACCCCATTTCAGTTAAAGTAGGCCTAGTTAAATACTTAGGTGATAGGGTTAAAAAGCTTACTGGTAGATCGGAAAATCTGAGACAAGAAATTAGACACATCAAGAATACCCTACGTCTCAATAATCACCCACCAAAATTTACAAATAAACTCATAAGAAGTAGAAAGAAAAATATTGGCAGTGGTAGTAGCAGTAACGCAGATGTCATTAATAATAATCTTACTACTAATGGTAATAATGGTGACAGGGTTAAGAGAGAAATCAAAGCCTCTACTGTGTTACCATACAAGGAAGGCACCTCAGAAGCATTACGAAGAATTCTCAATAAGGCTGGCTGAGAATAAAGTGACACTTCAGTCAATAAACTCATGCAGAAACAAGCTTTGTAGGTTAAAACATCCTATCGATGCAATTAAGCAGAACAATCTGGTCTACCAGATCCCTTGCAGTGATCGCAAAGTCAAGTACATGGGTCAAAGTAGTCGACAGGGTCGATCAGAATAACAGAGCACGAAAACTTAGCTAAATCAAGATTAGTAAATCCTAATCAGATAAGAAATCCAAAGGAAGACTTGGCTATATCTCTGCATGCGATGACACAATCACACAGTAGGGTGGATAGGGCGACAATGTTGAAAACTAACTTAGTTGGGTGGAGGGAGAGACTGATAACCGAATCTTTCTTCATCGAATCAACACCAAATACAAGCGATCGAAGTGATTCTGTATCTGTCCCAGATATATGGAAAATTCTACTACCCTTGTCATCACAGAGAAGGAGAGAAAACTAGGAATATATAAAGACTGTCTCGAAGTTGTGGAGTTACCTGATATGAATATGGACAATAACTTATGTCTGAAACGTTATCCAGTAAATGCTACTGTTTCACTGTGTGATATTTCTAATAAACAGACTAAAATCGAATTACAATCGACCACAGTGCCCAAGTTTTACACTTATATTAGCATAACTATTTTTTCATATATTGTTACTTCATCCACAAATTGACTGGTCATTCGATTTAATCGTGACTTGGTCATCATTTACAGCCCTAGATATTGGTGCCCTTTCCCGATTCACGATGATGTCGAGATTCCTTTTGTTTTCCCTCATGCTTTTTTTACTTTGAAAATTTATTTGCCTCCCGTCTTTGCCTTGCCATGGGATACATGCGTCTGTTATATTCCCAGTTTGATTTGGACACAGTCTTGCTGTTTCAACTGTTGATGCACTCAATGTCAGGTGCTGTGACAGAAATAAACTAACAGATACCTCACGATTTGATGTTTATCATCTTTTTTTATTAACTATTGTTCATCAATATGAAACCGTATCCTCAAGCAAATTCTGTGTTTTGCATTCTACGCTTAACTCGAATGTTTGATTTATTGTTGAAGAATCACTATGGTTCCTAATTTCTTGGAAATAAATTCACATCATATTTAAATCACAGCTGATATTTGTAAGCAATCCCCAGATACTCAGTTTTAGGGCATTAAGTTGTCTAGCACTGGATACTCAGTATGTATTAACAATAAATGTATCAAATCATTAACTTACTTTGACCCCTATACGTGATATAAAAATAGCCGAGACAGCATTGATATTGAGCATTATGCCAGTCTTTTATTCCGTATATCATCCGACTTAATGCAATACATTCGCAGAGCATATGAAAGATAGTGTCCACTGTCTAAAACATTATTCAACATCTGTTTATATTATTATCATGAATTACTTCAGAGGATTTAAAATACATTCGTTTATTATCATCTCCTTTTCTGTCAAGTGTTCTTCAGGTGTTTTTGAGACATCAACTTTCTTCGGCATTGTCTAGTGTAAGACAGAAATAAAACTGAATAAAATGAAATGTTTGTACGAACTTCACCTTTGCAAAGACTTATTTAATGAAAAAGTGGATTTTTCAATACATATACATACATTTTGAGTGTTCTATACAGTCAGAGAGGAAGAAAGAGATCCAAATAGAGCGTCGCATTTAAGATTAAGGTTGTTACATTTCACAACATACATACAGCATACAAAGAAGAGGTGGAGGGAAAAAGAATATGTTGAAATACAAAGTAATTTTGAGACTAACTAAGCAAATATGCCCAAAACCTTAGATGATACAGATGGCTTACATCTGAAACATTGTGACCGATTTCCAGCCTTATCATTAAAACTCTCTAATCACCCTTGGTACCACCTCAAGAGACCACAGGTAAGTCAACCAAACTTTTCTTACAGTGGAATTTATGGAGGTCAATCACTTTTTTATTTCTTGCAGATGAGATTGTTAAGAATGATGGCAGGAGCTCACTGAATCAACAAACTATCTTAGAGGATGTAATTACAGATGGATGAGACTATGAAAGAAAGCATTGCAGTACTTGAAAGCTGAACGATCTGAGCATTCGAGCATATTAAATAAAATGATAGGTTAAACGTGCAATATACTAGTTACTACTTGGCCCTAAGCCCGAGTAAAGAGGGAAGGTTGGGCATAGGACTAGCAACCCTACCCCGTAAAACAAATCCAATCGCTACAGAAACTTCAAAGCACAGACAAAATATAAAAAATAAAAACAAACTGATTCCTTGCTGGAATCGTGTGGACAAAATGTCGCCCGTTGGTGAAGGCCTTCGGGAAGACAATTGGCGATGCGTCTTCTCTCGATAAAAGCGAAAGTAGACATGGGGACATGGAATGCCCGCACCATGCTTGAACTCAGCAAGGCAGCTCAGATTGCAAACGAGATGAGAAGGTATCACATCGAAGTGCTTGGAATTTGCGAAAGCAGATGGAATGCGAGTGGACTCTCCAAACTGTCATCTGGAGAATCAATAATCTACTCCGATACTGTCACCCAGACGACAACCACGAGCACACAGAGTTCTGGAGTGGCTATCATGATGTCCCCGATAGCATCGAAGGCTCTCATGCAGTGGGAACCAATCTCCTCCAGGATCATGACAGCAAGATGGATTCAACTCAAAAGGAAGGAAGGTCACAATCATACAATGCTACACTATGCACCTACAAATAATGCAGAGCAAGAGAAAAAGGAGGAATTCTACAGACAACTGCAATCAACACTGGACAAAACCTCAGTTGGCGATATCAAAATTCTAATGGGTGGGGCGACATGAATGCCAAACTGGGAGCGGACAACACAAGAAGAGAACTAACTATGGGTAGAGAAGCAATCGGTGAAACGAACGAGAGTGGAAAATTGTCTGCAGAATTCTGTACATTCAAAACAGATGAAACCAATAGAAGATGATGAGGAACATCTAATCACCAAAGAAGAGAAACAAAGGAAACAAAAGGCTCTTAAACAGACTATCACCTGCACTTAGTCCAGAAATACCACCTGCATCCACAGAAATACAAGTGAATACAAGTCCTCTGATGAAAGTCAAAGTCCTGAGCTCCATAAAGCTACTGAAGTGCGGGACAGCAGCAGGACGAGATGAGATCCCACCAGAAGCACTGAAAACAGACGCAGAGACAACAGCGAACATGCTCACACCACACTACCATTGCAGAAGGTCTGGAAGGAAGGAAAAGTACCTGCCGGTTGATTGGAAGAAGGGTTACCTTGTCAAATTCCCAAAGAAGGGAGACCTAAGTCTTTGCAAGAACTAGCACGGAATCATGCTCCTGTCCACCCCAAGCAAAATATTAAGCAGCATCATCCTAGAGAGACTAGAGGATGCACTGGATTCAAAGCTAAGACCGGAACAAGTTGGCTGGCTGGATTCAAAAAGTACAAATCATGTGCGCATCATCATAGAGCACAGTATAGAATGGCAGTCAACTCAACTCTATCTCAACTTCATCGACATTGTAAAGGTTTTCGACAGCGTCGACCGACAGGCAATTCGGAAACTGCTTCAACTCTACGGAATACCACAAACCTTTATCAATCTCATTCAACAGCTATATGAAAACGCCACATGCCAAGTGATTCACAATGGGAAGCTCAGTGATGCTTTGAAGTGAAGACAGGAGTAATACAAGGCTATCTACTATCACCCATGATATTCCTGATTGTAGTGGACTGGATCATGCAACAAATAGTGAACAGCGAGAAGAGAGGGATGCTCTGGATCGCGGAAAGGAACCTAGAAGATTTAGATTTCACCGATGACTTATGTCTAATGTCACACAAACTTGAAGATCTACAGGCAAAAACTAACAAGTTCACAGAAGAAGTGGGGCAGCGAAGACGGGACTTCAAGTGAATATAGAGAAGACGGAGGTGATGAAGATACCGCACCAACAACTCCAACAACAACAACAAACTCCAATCAACATCAACGGGAGAAACTTAAAGGAAGAAGCCTCTTCCACCTATCTAGGCAACACTGTTTCAACTACAGGCGGCACAGGCACACACGAGGACGTCAAAGCAGCCAGGATCGGAAAAGCAAGACAGGCGTTCATTAGCCTGAAACCAGTGTGGAGATCTACTGTACTGCACTCAGCATATAGCGTGAACAAGATCCAGATTTTCAACACCAATATCAAGTCAGTGCTTCTATGTGATGGTTCAGAGACTTGGCACATGACAAAAAGCACTTCGAACAAACTTCAGACATTCATCAACAACTGCCCACGCTGGCTCGTTACTGAAGATCAGATGGGTTGCCAGAAAGAATAAGCAACAAGGAACTCACTGTGTCTGGCAACGAACCAACCAAGAACCTATCACTCAACAAATATGCAGAAGAAAGTGGAGATGGATTGGATTGGACATACACTGAGAAGGCCAACTGGGGACATCACGCGCCAGGCCAGTTTCTCGAGTGGAACCCAGATAGGAAACGACGAGTTGGTTGTCCGAGGCTAGGGTGACATAGAGGAGATGGTGTGAGAAAGAAATGAGACCTTGTAGGCAGTCCTGGAACCAGGTTGAAAGAGAAGAGTGCAGAGAAGAGAGTAGAATGGAGACGTCCTACTGAAGCCCTAAATTCCATTAGAAACCCAAGGGATAAATAGTAGTAATAATAATTGCATCGTGATTTTTATTACTCCTTGGGCTAACGCAGTTGCTAGATTCTATGATTTGTCAAAACTCCGTAGATCTAAAATCCCCTTCAAACCAATTATTGACCTTAAAATCTCAAAATATTTGCCAAGAATTTGAAAACCATGCATTTTATCAGCATCTGCCTAACAGGGAAATGTCATCTGTGTACTCTGACGCAACCGTGAGTCCATCAGTGCATGACTGATCCTTGGGAAGTCACAAGTACCAAAGAAAAGCCCATCAATACATCAAAAAACCAAACTAAGTAGGAACGGTGACAAAGAGTATCTTTGTCTAACAATATCGGTTGTCATCAATTCACAAGGCGACTCGCCATAAACATCAACACAGCTGCATAAGTTTGAGCAGAGAGATTTCATTAGTACTCCACGCTTGCTTACGACTTGACTCACAGTAAGACACCGGCACGGCATCCGTTGGTTAACAGAGTTGAATGCTCCCTTCAGGTCAACAAATATGACGTGTTGGCTGCCAGTAAGTATGCCTGTGTTCTAGAACCTTTCAAAGGGCAAACGTCTGATCCATGCATTTATGTCTAAGTTCAAAATCTGTCTGGTTTCTTGAGCCAATTATTCTCGTGCTCCAGTTGAGTGTCGGGTAACCATGGACCTAATGGTCTTCGACATGATATCAGTCAAACTTATCCCTCTGTGGTTGTCCAGATTTCTCTACCTACTTATGGAACGGAATGATGAGTGAATTAGACGTCTAATGGGACTACCTCTGATTCCCATACACTACCTAGTGCTTTCATTACTCCAATCAGTAATTTAATTGTTGCTCTCTTAAAACTCCCCAGTTGCAAACAATTTGATTCTTCTGACTTGAGTCGTTTTAGGTATGAAACAGGCCTCTCTACTCCGAGTACAGTTGAAGGACTGAGATCTTTGTTCAGTTCAGAAGCGGAAACCATAACGGCTAGTCCCAGTCAACATCTTTACAGGCAAAAGCAAGAGGATATGCGGAAAATTCCAACGAAAACTCAGGCCAAAGCAAAAGATTTTGCAACATATCCCTGAGGTTTTTCACCTCCACATTCTTCCCCCGTTGCCTTGCGAAATACTTCGCGTGTTCTCAAGAAAAATTTATATTCCTCCCCTGTCATGAAAGCGAATGTATCAATTTGTAACTATTCTCTCCAAATAAATTATTATCCTTCCATATTTTTGATCAAAAATGAACTTCGCAACAAAAACCAGTCGACAGTTTTGCTGGAAACAGCGGAAAAATTGACAGAAATGTGGAGAAGAAAAATGCTAGGAGAATTGGGGAAAACGTGGGGCATTTCTCGAGGGAACCGGAGGCAGAACGCAGAGGCGAAAAGATATTGGCAAAACTTGGGTAAATGTTGCAGAATCGCTCACTTTGCCCCAAGCTTCCATCGCAGTCTGCAATGTGAGCACTGTTTTGCTCAGCGTGAGTGCTGACTGGGACCAGAGGAAATGCAGGGGCAGCAGTATTGTACAATCATCGAAAACACTGGCTTACGTATCAGGCCAAAGGTGAAATCATAGAGTAAAATGTGGCAAATATGTTCAGGTCCTGCATTTGTCCCATCTCTTTTTTGTAGTCATTCGTTCAATACTGCCTTGTTTGATTTGACGAAATGTTGACTGCAGTCAACACACCCATGGGTCCTTTAGAGGCAAACATTTTTGCTTGAACTGACGCAAAAAAGACATACCAGAAGATATTTGCGAAATTGTTTTAAACTTAGAAACATGTGGGTTCATCATGTTATACCTTTCTTCTCACAATTATTCTGCAAAAACTGTTACTCTAAAAATTAGGCTTGTAACTAATGCTTAAAAACTCTCTAAAAGTACTCAAACTGTAGTTTCCAGAGATAGCGCAGTAAAACGAAGCGTTAGAAGATTAACAATGAAATTTTCCTCAGAACTTGAAGTATTACTGTCAACTTTTCTACTGCCTTAAAATATCTTGAAGGCAACTTCTGAGAATAAAGTTGCAGCATAAGCTTCTTTCTTAAACTTCAAACATCATGTTTTATAATTTGAGAACGATGGTTCCTTGAGTTTGACGTCTACTTGCTGACATATTTCTTTGTTTGAAACGGTTGAAAGTGTCCATCTACTTCCCAAAAACCTGAAAAGATAGAGATCATGTGTTATAATTATTCTCCTCCCTATATGTAGTTTTACTCCCTTGAATCTGTAGGTCACGCGAAAGTTGTGGAGTAAAGCCCATCGGTACCACAAGAACTTGAATGTTCTTACGGCTTCCTTTTGAAAGTTTCAAGCGAGGAGGTTGCAATGACTGTAGGTAGTGTTTCCACAGTTTACAAACCTTAACTGCAAACGAGTTGGCACGGATCGTGGGACGTGCTCCTACATGCTCTACGCTTAACGGGTGGCCCCTGAGGTGGTTTTTCTCACTAAAGCTTCGGGGTGAGCTTCTATGATGGAAAAGGCCGTGAGTGATGTGATGCGTCATGATCAAATCTTCTACGACTCAGTGGTTTTGCACCGATTGCAGCTGAGGAGCAACTAGGCAATCCATGTGAGGATCGAAGCGTAACTCGATCACTTCCTTCCTACCTCTTTTCTGAACCCATTCTAGGATGACTATATCTTTCCTCAAGCATGAGGAGAACATTAGCTGATTTCTTTCTAGATGACGATGAGTAGAAAATCCGTACACTGTGGTGAATGGGAGTGGAATTACTCTCCCCGAAGTTCCGGAAAGAAAACCGGACTCCAAAGACCCTGTTGGGTGTACGACGACGACAGATCGAAGCCCCAAGTGACTCCCAGATCCTTTTAAGCGTTCGAGTGGCATACTTGTTTCACCCACAGAACAAAAACTGGGACCGTTTTCGTATTCGTCAACAACCATCATCATGCGCTTCTTTGAGTTGAGGGTGATCAGCTTTTCATTAGTCCAGTCTGGGATTCTGGAAAGGTCTTCCTGAATGACCGGGATATCCGTTGTCTCCTGTATTTCACAACAAATCTCCAGATCCTCGTCACGCAACAATGAGGGAAAAGTTAGGGGTAGTGATAGGTCATTGATAGGGACAAAAAACTTTAGTGGACCAAGGGAAGAACCCTGGGGCAAACTACTCTGCATAGGGAACCACCTAGATAGAGAGAAGTCAACCCTAGCTGACTGCTACCTCGTGGAAAGACAACCATTAAGCCAAATTGGTAACTCTCTGTGTGCATGCACAAACTGAAGTTTTTATGGAGGATATAGTGATCTACCTTCTAGAGACATTAAAAATTTGGGTAAATCAGTGTGAATGGGTATTTTCGCCCAAAAGAGGGAGTCCAACTATTCCCAGCTGTCAGCAAGCTAGTACTACATGACTCTGTGGATAAAAACCTGTGTTGGCAGTCAGTTAAGATTGATTTTTTGGCGATCACTTAATGAGTCACTTATTACACTTTCCTTGACCTTAGCAACTGCAGAGATCAAAGAGATCGGCCTGTAGTTGGGGGCACTTAGTTTCCTCCTACCTTTATATGCTTGGACGACAGCCAGTCGTTTCCAATCACAGGGTAACTTGCCTTCCAGAAACGTATACATGAAGCGATGTGACGGTTGGGCACTCGTAGTATCCATACGTTCCTCTAGCACTTTTGGGTGAATGTCACCAATTCCTGCGGACTTATTCAGACTCAAGTTCCTTGGGGTTCCCTCAGTTAAAGGAGGTTCAAACTCAACGTGACTTAATCCCTGTGTAATACAGAGGTCTAGTATGTGTGTTGTTGCCCACCGGGACGGCGGAAGATGTTTTGGAGTTTCCAAGCTAACAAGTTTCCCACCTTTAAGTCAGTGTGGGAAATCTCCAAACCACTGTGGTCCCCTATAATGAGTGAAACGTTAATCTGTTGCCGCACCCCGTGACTCCACTCCAGAGTCATAAAAGGATTAGACCTTCAGTTTACCCTGTCGTTTCTCATTTGTCTCTTATATCTGTTTTGAACACGCTGTCCAGTGGTGTGTCCTTTTCTGCCTTACCTACCTGCAGAGTCCTCCGCCAATCGAGTTTTTCCAACATTTTTCCCGCCCCGAAAGTTTCAGAGATGTGAACCGAGGCAGCAGTTCCAAGTAGGGTCTGTTAGATGACCAACTCAACTGGCTTCAGATCACGTATGTGGCGAATTGAAGAGTCTCCGTCTACTGACTCCTCAAGTTTCCAAATCATCACACTAAGCGTTTGTGGGACTTCCTCGAATCTCGTGTGTATGGCCTTCGAGGCTTTCCCAACTTTAGTAGGTTGAATTGGAACCAATGAAAGCTCATTAAATCAATGTCATGCAAACTTGGTTGAAGTTTCTATGTTTTGTTGGATGAATTTTTGACAGTGTTTGCTGCATCAATAAATGGTACTGTATTGTCTGGTGGACCGTTATTTTCCCCACCACACGTATGCTTTTGTCCAACGGCAACCAGCCGTTTCCTGTTTTGGAGTGGTTATTGGCTTGCAGCGAAATTCGCAAAGACCGGGGTGAACTTTATTTCCAGCAACGCTGAAGTGCAGATGGTGCCACTCCAGCACATGCTTTGTGCAGCCAACGTTCACATGCATCTTACAGCCTGCTTTCATCGACCGGGAAGTGGCTGTGAGATTGTTCACAGGCGTGGTCGTCGCCAGCCATTTTGTTCACCGAGCAGTGAGAGGCTCAATCCAGAAATGAAGTTCACATAGACCATACTAGACAGAATCAACGATATGCATGTGGCAACAGAAAATAATTTGACGGAAGTTATGTCCCAAAGTGGTTTGAAATCTGTGCTTGAATAGAAAGTACCTAGCCAAAGCTGAACTGACAGAACCCTAGTCGAGGTGAGAACCGCGACAGCGATCTACTACAGAATGCACAAACAACACTTTTCAAAGAAATGACTGTCCACGTGAAGCTACAACTCACAAACTGTCAGCAGCCGTTATTTTGCAGTTATCCTCAGTCTAAATCTTGACAGTTCAGGTGGTATCCGAGTATTCAAACAAAATACTTTCAACAGCAGAGAGTCAGTGGTCTGGCGAATACACCAGTGTTCACAACTATGCCTTCACTGATGACAGTTTTCTGCTGCTGTTCGGCATACCATTCCACCAGGATGCTTCACTCTCGTCGTGAGGAACTCTGCCATTACTGTTACACAAGGTTCACAAAAGTTAAATGTGGCATACAGATAGGCACCAGGATAACTTGTTACTTAACTGTGCTTCACTGAAATCTGAAACGGGAAATGGCCAAAGATTAAACCTCGTTGTAGGCCAACCTCTTCCCGATAGTCAAGAAGGCGAAATCTCGTAAACCATTGTTCGTACTTATACTTCCTGTCTTTAATTTAGTCGCTTTACACCCCTTTCCAAACTTCTGGTCTTGGTCATGTAGTTTTGCCCACACAACCAAATGACAAACCTTATCCAAAGCTCTACTGAAATCATCGTCTAGCGAGATGTCATTATGAATTATCATTGCTAGCAACCCACCGGCCACCAGAAAGCTAGTCAGAGAGTCATAACATGACTCAAAAGAACACATTTTTCAGGTTTAAACAAATAAATGACTTATAATAATATTATTAATTTAATATGGGTGAAGCCAGGTTACAGGCATCATCACATTGATATATGTCGAAAAATCTACAAGATTTTACGAGTCCTGAGTGACGCAGAGAGTATGTTATTCAACCTATTAAAAATAGCAAACGGTCCCCCTAGTTATCAAACGAACATGGAAGTATCACTAGCGTATACTGAGTGTTTGAGTTTAGATAATAATAGGTGTTACCATCATACAATAGATTTCACATGGGCGATACCAGTTTAAAAGCATCGTCAAATTGACAATTCTTGAAAGTTTATGAAGTAGTGCTTAGTCATAAATAGTTCACATACCAAGTCGTTGATGTGCATAACCTTACCAAAACATGTCTCAATTCATGAGACGGGGATGGATTTTCACCTCCCATCACACAGGTAGGTTTCACTGTTAGGAACAAGATCATGCAATGTCCAAAGTTTTCATTATAGCCAGCCGACATTGCTAGTCCATTTGAGTATTTTGTTATCTAATTATACAACCGTCTATTTATCAGAAAGTTCTTCACTTCTTAGCTTTGCCGGCCATAAGGACCCGTGTATGCGATCTAGTGTCAGTAGGGTATTCGCAGTTGTACAACCAAGGTGAGTGGCCAAATAAATACATTTCCGAGTAACCATGTTACGGTTATAAAGAATACAGATTAATTCCACTTGGAATACCTGTTGTAGTGGATGGGAACAGGCGTTGAAATGGCTGGGGTCCTTCCCGCTTCCAAATGGTGTTGAAATGGGTTCCTGTATCCAATATCGTTTCATGAGCTAGCCTAAACGAATTGGTTTCCGCACGTGCGCCTCTAGGTCTTGCGGAACGGCTCCAGTTCCTTGTCCGGTTCCCATGTAACAGGTCTACTCACTAGCCTGCCACAGCTTTGGTCAGCCCGACGGAAGGTTCTATATTAACTGACCTTGTGGGGATTGCATGATTTGTACAGGGACTGCAGCTCAGCTGAGCTCAAATGTCATGTCACCAGACAGTTGCCCAGACTGGTTGTAAGGTGGGAAGGATGAGAAGATGTCTGAAGAAATCAAGGGGAAGGAAGTGCAAAAAAGCAAGACGAAAAGAGGCGAAGTGGAAGGAAATGAGAAGCCCAGGTAGATTCGCAGAAGGTTGCAGTGATAAGAGAAACCTTAATAAATTGAGT